ATCCATCCATCCATCCATCCATCATCCATCCATCCATCCATCCATCCATCCATCCATCCATCATCCATCCATCCATCCATCCATCCATCATCCATCCATCATCCAACCATCCATCCATCCATCCATCATCCATCCATCCATCCATCCATCCATCCATCCATCCATCCATCCAACCATCCATCCATCCATCCATCATCCATCCATCCATCCATCCATCCATCATCCAACCATCCATCCATCCATCCTTAGAAGAACTGATCAGTCCTCCATCATTGGTCCCCCCCCCCCAGCCTGTGCTGCCTCTCTCCTCTTCCTGTGAATCTGTCCCTGCAGCAGGATTACAGTTCTGGGTCCTGGACCTCTAGAACTGGGACCATCTCTAATTATGCTGCAGATCATGAACCAGACTGAAAAAACCAGGATGGGGGAGACGGTAGCCTCAGCTGCAGTTCAGAGATCTATGGACCTTAAAGTTCTGGCTGTGATCCGGTTCAGATCATGAAGGATTCTGGACATCCACACGTTTCAGCTGATCTGAGGAGACTAACCTGGAGCTACCGGCAGGAGGACAGTTCTGGTCCAGAGTCCGGTCCAGGGGCTTCGGGGCGACACGGCTGCTGCTGAGCTGAGCTTGGGTGGAGGGGTGGAACATTTGGGACGTTCCTGAGCGGGACAGCAGACCTGAGGACAGAGAGCACGGTTTGATTCCCATCAACCAGAGTTCTACTGCCTCTGGTTCTGGATGTGAGCCGGACCTTGCATGAAGGCAGAGGTGTGGGTGATGGGCATGGAGCCGTCGAACGGGATGGCCAGCAGCTCGTCTGTCGTCATGGAGACCCGGTCTCGGTTCTGGCGATGACGGGGCGAGCTGACGGGGAGGTTCAGGAAGTCCAGCTCCCGTTCCGTCAGACGCTCCCTGAGGACTGCGGATGAAACAGAACCCCCCCGATCAGAACATCCTGTTTCCAGCCCCAAACAGAACCGGACCTCCAGCTCAGTCCGCTTACATCAGCAGAACCCGTATTTACGCAGCGGCTCGGATCTTACCGTCCCTGTTTCTGGGCCGGACCGCTCTGGGTTTCCTCGGCGTGGCCAGAACCAGCGGTCCAGTTACCGTCCGGCACCTTTGGCAGCTGCGATCAAAATCTGCGATGTAGGCTTCCAGCGCCGCAGAGGCGGAATCGTAGATCTGCAACCAGGCAGAGTTAGCATGTTCAGAACCATCAGGCAGAAGCAGCTGGTGTCTGCATGAAGTGTCAGAGGAGAACCTGATCTCCATATTGGAAGGTTCTGCTGAGCTCAGGCGGCTGCAGGCTGCTCCTCAGGCGCCCAGAGCTGGACAGCAGGGACGTCACGGTGGACTCTGGGGACACGCAGTCCTCCTCAGGTGACTCCATCCTTCAGCAGAAAGACGGATCCTCCATGATCCAGAACATCCTCAAACCTGAGAGACAGCAGACAGGTCAAAGGTCAGCAGCAGGCCAGGCTTCCCTCCTGCAGGTTGATAGATCTGCTCCGGTTTACTTCTAGAGTAGATTTTCTAGCCAGCAGACGTCTGGAAGCCTGTGAGTCTGGGACCAGCTGCCTGATGGCGTCATGTGAGCAGCCTCCTAAACGCGGCTAAACTGATCAGATGGTCAGATAATGGCAGGTCGCCACGAGGCCACCAAACGTTTGACGCTGATTTTATACCTGAAACAAAAAATCAGCATCAATGAAAAATTCAGAATATATTGAAGGAGCAACAGAACGAGACTTCAGGTCAAACTGTCACCTTAAACCACGTCAGTATGGTGGAGAAACCCCGAGCAGGCAGCACACGTCCAATCCAGGCCCTGCACCAACCATCAGGCACGGAGGGGGCGCTATCATGCTGTGGGGCTGAATCCTCTGGTCTGTAGGAGCAGAAAGTCACTGAAATAGAAAAGCAGCATTTTTCAAATTTAACATTTCAGTCAGGCATCTGAAAAGTTTTTAAAGTGAATTATTAAAGAGGAATTAAACATTTTATTTATTTATTAAAGAGGAATTAAACATTTTATTTATTTATTAAAGAGGAATTAAACATTCTATTTATTTATTAAAGAGGAATTATACATTTTATTTATTTATTAAAGAGGAATTAAACATTTTATTTATTTATTAAAGAGGAATTAAACATTCTATTTATTTATTAAAGAGGAATTATACATTCTATTTATTTATTAAAGAGGAATTATACATTTTATTTATTTATTAAAGAGGAATTAAACAT